CAACTTTGATTCTCAAATACACAGAGCCTTTGTCTATTTGTCTGTTTTACTAACTTAGGCATCGGAGAGGTATCCGGCACACACCCGCCGGCTAGCTCACGTTTGTATTTTCAGGGGATAAAGCGACGTCGTACAGAGGAGCGCAGACTTGATCAATAGGATTACACGGGAAGAATATTTCGTGCCCGTACATAATCAAATCACAACCTGTATACTGTAGTAACTAGTCTTGAACCATTAAAGTTTAAGACCCCCATGTTTGATATATAGATTTAAGACAGATTTGAAAAGAAAATTTAAAATATATATATATATAATATAATTATGTTGGATCTACCTTTTGTTTCTTTTTTTTTTACAAATTACTCCCAAAATTCATAAATCAAACACAATCTAAAGCATCTCAAACACATTCACACCTTACCATCTAAAAAAAACACATCCACACCGTGATCCAAATTTATACCCTAAAATTTTTGATAAAACCAAGGGCCTCAAATGTCTACCAAAAATTTGCAAAGCTATATTGTGTCTGGTGGAGGTTTTACCCAAACAATAATACTACCGAAACCATTCAAATGTATATTGTTTTACTCAAACAAATATACATTTGAAGGTTTTCAAATGTATACTTTAATGTTAGTTTGGCCATTGGAGTGGTTCATACCATCAAATGAAAGCATCATACAAAACCTATTACATTTTGAAGTGATACAATAATGAAGTTGAAAACGAAACCTATAGAGAACATAGGAGAAAACATAACATGATAAAATGAAAAGCATCTCAGAGTCAACAGTCCCCATAGTTTTCTTCACTAGCAATCAAAGTGCAAGGATAACAAAAGGTTACTCATCACTGATGCTCACTTAAATCCATAGCTTCCATTAAAAAAAACACATAAAAACTAATGAACCAAAAACAAGTGGTAAATGGATCTCAGAATAATATGAATATCTTCAATCCCTTTAAAGGGAATTACAGATAGATAACGTAGTTTTTATCAATCATCATTGATCCTATCCAAAAAACACAATTGAGCAAAACAAAAAAATTTAGTACTTAAAAAAAATGACAAAGCAGCCAAGCCAGACAGAGCGAGAGCTATATCCATAGATTTCTAAAGCAGAAATCAAAGCAAAACAAATAACAAAGTAACAAACAGATCAAGCATAAAATAAGTTGTTAAAACCCATTAGATCATAGTATATATGATAAAGATTGAAATTTTTTACACAATACAAGTGATATGAAGAAGCAAATAATGTTAATTCGTAGAAACACTGAAGCTTTTGTTGTCGGATGAGGTAGATTCGAATCGCGACTGTGTGATTTGAGAGAGATAATGGAGAAGAAAACTATGAAGGCTGATATAAAAACAGAAGGGGATAGCGATTTATGGAGCCCTAGTTTTGCGATTCTAATAGGAAATGTTTGGGTTGGATTGTGCTGTTGAAGAGATCCATTGGGCCTAGTGATCAGGCCCGCCTGAATAGTTAGGGGCCTAAGGCCCATTATTGCATGAGTAATTATCGTGTTTTTTGAAAATTTAGTGATGCTTTTTTGAAAATTTCATGTTGAATTTAATAATTACATGCTTCAATGAAAATGAATATAATGAACAAATCATAAAACATTATCAAATAGCGATAGTAACTTGACTTGACTATATGGTATTCTAGTTTATTTACTTCCATTCATTGAAAATTAAAAGGGTAATTTATTTGATTCAAGTTCATAAAAATTCCTTTTTTTTTTTCTAAAAAATATTAATCATTATTTATGTGAATGATTATATTAAACATCCGAGCTCTAATCTAATTTAAATGGATAATAAGATCAAATCTAATCATAATAATTCTTTTGCTTCCAAAATAATTAAAATCATATTTGTGTTATCCATATTAATATTAAATTTATATCACAAAAACTTTAGTTTTGTGACAGTCCAAAGTGTCACTGGAAAAAACCTATACGGGGCATTTTTCAATAGAGCAGTATTTTCAACTATTTTTTTACTTTCAATGCATTGTGAACCATAAAATCTTAATTTGAGATTTTCATATTTCTATATTTATTATCATATTATATAATTAAAAATTGTACATTGAATCTGACAAGGATTATAGCCATCCATTCTACTCATGATTCACGTTTGTGCTTGCAAAAAAATAAGTTGTGTATTTGAATTATAACTTAAATAAAAATTTACATTTGATTTGTTTAGGAGAAAGATATTTTATTTATTTTTTGATATTTGATACAATAAAATACATAAATTAATTAAAAATATATATTTTTTATAATCAACGAAAAATAAATTTATTTGAGTAAAAAAATATTTTCAATTTTTAAAATATAAAAAACATTTTTCAGAATAAAATTTTGTTAATATCACCTCACACATTTCATCACAGCCACCGCTACTATCACCGTTGCCGCCGCTCCACCACCAGGCCCGGCCTTGAGATTTTCGGGGCCCAAAGTCGATAATCAACTAATAAATTTCTGAAACCCTTCACATTTTTTTTTTCATTGAATGAAAAAAAAAAATTGAAAGTAAAGGACAAAAGATTTGTGTCAAAATCACAAAAAATACTTAGCATTACATTACAATAACTAATAAGTATCGCTTGATCCTCACTCTTCTTGCATTTTTAGAAGCAAATAAATCAATCATACTTGCATAATCTAATTTTTTTGTAAAATCATTTCCAATGAATAACAATGCTAATCATTTTAAATGGATCTTTCAATTTTTTAATGGATTAATTTATTTTAAGTTAATTTGGGTCTTCCTTAATTTTTTTTGGACTTAATATATTAGACTAAACTATAATAAGATAGACCCCTTTTGAGTCTATTTTCAATGGATAACAATACTAATTTTTTTGAATGGTCTTTCAATTTTTTAATGGGTCAATTTATTTTAAGTTGGTTCAGGTTTTTTAAATTTTTTTAGACTTAAAACATACCTAATATATTACACTAAATTATAGTATGAAGGGACCCTTTTTTTTAGTCTATTTTGAGAGGCCCTAGGCCATGGCCTTGTGGCTTATACCCCAGGGCCAGCCCTCTCCACCACTATGCCACCTCTTTTACCTTTAGGGATTGGTTGGGTTGTCCTAAATAAAGTGCACTTTTTGCCTTTTTAGACTAGAAAATTGAGGGAAAAAATATGGATGTTTGGGTTAATTTTTTGACTTTTTATAAAAAAAAATGTGTATTAAAAAATTATATAAATTAGTATGTAGGAAAAAATTAGGATCGAAATTTGTACCGCCATAATTGTTGACTTTTGGTAAATAGTGTTAATTTTTTAACTTTTTGAGTAACTTTTTAACTTTTTTACTTTTTATGAACTTCCCAAACTTGACCTTACTTTCGTTTCATCACCGCCACTCTACCACCGTACCACTACTTTTATTTTCACTTTCGTTCCACCACCACAACCACCACTCCCAAACTTTAAAAATATTTTTTCGAAAAAAATTTATACAAATCAAGTGTTACAGTAGGAAATAGTTACAAATAATTTTTTTTCCTTCACAAATTAAACTAGAAGTTAATGAGTGAACCGTGGGAAAATGAAGCCCACGTATCGATCCCTTATTTCCCACCGCACATCGAAACCCTTCGCCCAAGTTTGTGTTCTTCTTTCTCAATTCCACTTCTGCAATTCGAAAAAAGTTTCACACCAAATCCAAACGCAATTCATCCACTCTCCTCTACAAAACCCACCACAATTCATAGCTCACACACCAAAATCCAATCCTTAATCACAAAACCCATCTCTCAAAACATCCAAGTTCTTCAAAAATGGGCTTAGTTTTCGGAAAAATCGATGTCGAGACCCCCAAATTCGAAGTCATCAAATCCAAAGACGACTACGAGATCCGCAAATACTCTCCCTCAGTGATCGCCGAGGTCACATACGATCCAACCCACTTCAAAGGCAACAAAGACGGCGGTTTTATGATCCTCGCCAATTACATCGGCGCTGTTGGAAATCCCCAGAATTCCACGCCGGAGAAGATCGCAATGACAGCTCCGGTGATAACCCAATCGTCGCCGAAGAAGATTCCGATGACAGCTCCGGTGGTGACGAAGGAAGTGGAGGATAAGGAGAAGAAGATGATGACTATGCAGTTTATATTGCCGCAGAAGTATAGGAAGGCGGAGGAGGCGCCGAGGCCGGTGGACGAGAGGGTGGTGATTAGGGAGGAGGGGGAGAGGAAGTATGGGGTGGTGAAGTTTGGTGGCGTGGCGACGGAGGAGGTGGTGGTGAAGAAGGTGGAGGAGCTGAGGATAGGGTTGGAGAGAGATGGGTATAAGGTGATAGGGCAGTTCTTGGTGGCTAGGTACAACCCTCCTTGGACTTTGCCTGCTTTTAGGACTAATGAAGTCTTGTTACCCATTGAGTGATTTTCTAGTGGTTTTGGGTGTCTGTGATTGAGTGATTTCCTAATTTAGTTGCATACTTTGTCATCTATTTTGCTTTTGTTTTGTTCTTGACATCGATGCATGATAATTTAGTTTATGTATATGCAAGAAAAAATTGGTTGTTGTTGGATGACTTTGAACATCTTGGCTCTTTGTTTAGATGGAATGAATGTTTCAAGGGTTCGTTATTTTGTCACTTTTAACGGTTTGTCTCGTGGATATAATGAAGCCGAACTCTTATGCACACCATTTTAGAAACCTGAGCTACCTTGTGCACACACAATACTAGAAGAAGAAGTGGAGTAAATTTGGGGTATAAAAACCTAAAACTAAGATGTTGGATTAGTCGATATTGAGACACCAAACATGTTTGTTTCTCAACATGGTCACTAAACCTGATCATAAACACCCCAAATGCTGTATTTGCACATGAAGAAAGTATAAGAGAGGAAAAGGAAGATTCAAAGCCACCATCACAATTTCTTCCTAGACAAACCATATCTCATTTTGAAGTACATTTTGAGCAAGGTATAAATCGTGTCAAAATAAAATAATTTTGAAAAATGTGGAAGAACTTTCTATTATGATATTTAATCAAATATTACATCCAACTTTGTGAGAAAGCCTTATTTAACAAATGAGTTTTGTCAATCGAAGAAAGAATAATAAATAGATTATAAACTTGGAAGTACTCCACATTCACATGGAGAGTTTCACTATGTTTTGTAACTGACCTGTGTGCATTATTATCAATGATCTATAACCTTCTCTGCTTCTTCACATATATGTTCTTTATCTATTTTGTACATCAAAACTGAAACTTGCTTCTGGAACAATCAAATTAACCTCGAGACTCTCCTCCACCCTGTTGGCTGCCATCACCGCTCCTGAATTTTGAAAAAATGCAGTTTCTTTTGAAAACCCATATTGGCCACCTTCAAAGCATGGGGTTTCGTATACTTAACAGGAGAGGCCAAATTTGTATTTCTAACTAAAACTAAAACACTATCTTTGTGAAGCAGCCCATAGATTTGGTCTATGGTCAAGTTGCTCCTGAGAACTATTACAGACACAACCAGGAAAAGGATTTGCATAAAAATTCTCCTCTAGCCTTGGTGATTCTCCCGGCAGTCTAAGATATGGTGCTCCAAGTCTATCCGAGTGCAACCTCTTAACCTCTGAAGAAAAATCTTCCCAAGACATGGCACCCTCATCCAAATGATCAATCAATCTAACAAAAAATTTTCTGAAAATGAAAATATGTCAAATATTAGTAATCTAACTTACAATTTAAGGGTGATAGTACCAATAGAAAAGAGCCTAAGACAATGCACCTGTCGGGGTTTATGGTCTTTCGAAATCCTTCAAACCGTCTGTGCCCTTGCACCACCTTTGCCATGTTCCCATCAAATGTGTAAACAAAAACATCACTTTCTAGTGCCATGATATAATCCAAGGCAGCAAGACGGTTCTGATACCGCTTGAAAGGCCGCAGCTCTTCTTCGGTTGCAAGAGTGGAGTGAGAGAAGACATTGGGGTACTCTGAACGAAACGCTGCCATGCTGTTATTGCCATAAATTTCCCCTGCAACAATGTATATTTTTGTAGAGGGCGGGTACCCCATGGCCTTGAGGAATAGGGCTGCCTCCCTTGGGGACATCGGGCAACCCCCTTGGACTCGTCGTCGTTTGCTGTTTATCTCTTTCTCCTTCCAATGCTGGACACCATACCTCATGACACGAAGTTCCTCAGCCTCTACTGCAGTAAGATAGTGGCTGCATCCGGTGAATGCAAGCATATCTTTCTCATATCTGCAAATAAGTTTAGTCTACTGAGTAAGTCTATAGTTACTAGTAAGTGACAAATTCATTTTCTGTTAGATATCTGTATAACCTTAAGTGGAGGGCAACATAGGGATGGCCATCATTCCTAAGTCTATCAACCAGTTTGAGCCCAAGCTCCTCAATCTCTGATGTGTATTGGAGAGCCTCGTAGTTGGCACGACACCTGAGCCTCTGTATAGAGGTTGCAATGCCATTATTGGCAAGGCGAGAATCAGTATGGGTGAACTTGATCACCTTATAGTGTTTCAGCAACTGAACCATCTCTCTTCTGTAGTAACTAGCCTGTATGTGAAGCATCTAAGATTGAGACCCATTTAAAGAAAGCAAAATGGATACAATTGAAGAGAGTATAGACATTATTTGCAGACCTTGGACCAGGAAATTGGAGCCTTAAGAAGGGGCTTGATTGATGCATGGCTTGGTGGCAAAGATTCAACTATCTCAATGTCATCTTTCAATACTTCAATGAAGTGCTTCCAATCAAAAACATCTTTAAAATCACTGCACCGAAAGTAGTGGAAATTATTGAAACATCATATCAAGAGTAAAAAAGCTAATAGCAGCTAACCGAGTCTAGTCCAATTAGCTGGTCAAAACTCGTGCACCTCACTAAGAGAGGTCAAGGTACCACGAGTCTCCCTCCGCTAGAGGTCCCTGTTGTGCCCTTCTGTGGGGCTCACCTTTGGTTCACATTTTTTATTCAAATCGTTCATCTTGGAAGGCCCGCCCACTAGATCATCATTCATGTAAAAACTTAAGTTGATTGATAGCATATAATCAGATCACATTTGTCTTATAAAATAGACCCAAAATGTAATTTTAAGAATAAACTATCTATTTTGTACAGACAAATATGATCAATCGTGTGGTTATCAATACTCCCTGCTGCATCTTAGGCACAAGGACCCCTCTCCGGACTCATATGTATGCAAAAAAATATATATGTAAATCTCAGCAAAACACGTGGAGAGGGAAACAAACAGTACCTTGGATCAGTCCAGAAAGAGTCATGATCAAGAGAAGGAAGAACCAATGTGGCATTCATAATCTTTGCAACAGCAACCATATCACATATCTGCATATGAATCCACTTCGAATTTCAGCTAAAGACAAAACTAAAAATCTCGAAACTCAATATAATAGTTGAACATAATCAAATATGTAAAATGAACTAATATTGGAAGCTTACCCCTGTTCTCATTTGATTCAATCCACCATTGGCATGAACTAAAATATAACCGTTAGTTGCAGAACCCGTCCCTAAAACAATTTAATGCATATATTAGAAAACGAATGATTCGAGTAAAAATTGCTTGAAGAACGGAGAAATGGAGAAGTGGACCATACTTATTCGATTCCTGGGCCGAGTGGTGCACTGTTGATAGTTATCGCTGTTTGGTTTCATCCAAATTTCTGGTGTCTGAAAACAAAAATACAAAATAGAACTCCTAAGCTGACTGGAAACTGGAAAAAAGCCAAAAAAAAAAAAAAAAAAACTAACATAGTTTTATCATTGAAAGCAGGAAAAGTAAACCATCTAGACTCAGGTATCATTAGCAGCCCATGTGTAATATATTGTATAACCCAAAAAAGTAACTATTAACCATAAGTGTTAGAATATAGAAAATTTCCGAGAACACACTGCACTCATCTTAGATGGGACTCAAAAATGGATGAACACGTTCAAAAAAAAAAAAAAAAACTTCACTATTTCCTAATTTTTTTTCTAATTCTTTCGACACCATAATCAAATATGAATTTTTCAAACAAAATGCGCTTAAGTTCATATTAGAATTTTGATTCAATTGAGAAAAAAGTAAGCCTATTATACAAGCGTATTATTTTGAGTCACAGTCCACTCTAAATGAATGCATTGGGCTTTTAAAAATAAAATAATGTGCCTATTTGGCAGAAATTATAATCAGCTTATTTCAGCTTTCGGCTTAATTTAAACTATTTTGATGTGTTTGGTTTAGCTTATAGCTTATAGCTTTTTGGAAGTCAGAAATCAACTTATTCTTTGAGTGGGGCAGGAGATGCTTTAAGAATAAGTCAGAAATCAGCTTATGTTCATAATTATAAGCTATAAACTGTTTAGGTATAAACTATAAGTACTTTCCTACATCTCTACTCAACAGGGCTAATATCATGATATATAGACTCTAAAATAGAGGAACACATTCACATAAAACACAGAAAAATTAAAGAAAAAAATTTGCACCGTCATATAAAAGACGGAAGTCAAATAAATGTATTTAAAAATACAGTAATGATACATTCCGTGGTGTTTTGAAACACCACTAATGAGTTGGTAAATACTTTAAATAAAAAAATAAAAAAAAAAACAAAACACAAGCAGTGGGTTCCATCCATTGCCACATGTGCTTTTAGAGCACCACTTTTAGTGGTCTCAAGCATTATTGTTAAAAATATGTGTTGGACATAAAAAAAAATATGTGTCGTTTGGGAAGTGAGTTGGCTTTTTAGCTTTTTGATTTTTTTAAAATTATTTTAGCCTGGACTCAAAAGTTTAGTTTGAGAATAATTTTTTGACTTTTTTTATGAGAAAAAAATATAATAATTATAAATTAGATGTAATATTTTATTTATTTATTTTTAACTAAAATAATAATAAAATAAAATAAAAAAGGGTCTCAAATAACTCTTTCCAGACGGAGCCATAAGTATCTCCCAACTCATTTCTGGCATTCATACGTGTAGCTAATGATTATAAAGGTTGTTTTGGAAAGATGGTAAAAAGTGATTTTTTGGCTTTTAATTAAGTTTTTAGCTTTTTTAGACAAATGATTTGGGAAGTTGGTAAAAAGTGACTTTTGACTTTTTTGATTAATATTTGTTTATGATGTCAAATCATAATAAAATAACTAAACTACCCCTATTTATTTAAAATATTTACAACTGAACCTATGTAACACATTGTGACCCATGAGGGGTAAAATTGTAATTTCACCGTTGACTAAAAACCAACTTGCCAAATGAAAAAAAAAAAGCCAAAAAAAATCAACTTTAAACTTTTGCTACTAATCAAAAAAAGTGACTATTAGCCAAGTTTCCAAAATAGCCCATAGTCAACCACTCAATGACGTTCGTGGTCATCGCCAAACTCGCAAAAGACAAAAAAAAAAAAAAAAAAAAAAAAAAATTGCACACGTTTTGGCCGCCCCACCACTACTACTTTGCGGGTCAAAAAAATAGAACACAACGAAACCAATCGTTCACAATTCAAAGTCAAGTTTTTGTGATAAATATAAAAAAATTAAACGAAAATCGGTAACTAATGAAATATGATATTTTTAAAAAAAAAATTCAGAATTTAACTCCGGTAATAAAATAAATTGAAATTTTAATATTTTAGTTTACTTTTAATTTAAATTATTACTCTATTTCAGTTAAGTTGACAAAAAAATTGTATTTAAATCATTAAATTCAATATAAATGTATATAAAATATTTAAAATATTATTTTTCATTAATTAATAATTAAAGTATTAATTTTTTTTTTTAATTTAAGATTTTAATTGATAAGATTAAAAAATTATTTTGTTATAAAGATTTTTTTTTTAAAAACGAAAAAAAAAATAGAAAATTTTCCACTTAAAATTCATTTGCTTCTTATTTGAAAGAACTGGAAGAAGGCATGCAAGACATCCCTGATCCCCTGTTTGGTTACTGAGAAAACAGAGGAATGTAAAAGCAATTTGAATTTTCGATTAAATTACTGCTTGGTTTCTGAGAAAACAGAGCAATGTAACAGTAATTTGAATTCTCATATCTGGGTCATCAAAAATCTTCAATTAAATTAGGCCTCATACTAAGTATTTGCTAAATTGAACTAAAAGTAATAGAAAACACTTACTGGGTATTTCTCCAATAACCGCTTAGACATGACAGAACCAGACGACGACGACGACGATGATGATTCCTCCATATCTCCAAACACAACTCTCTGAGCCATCGACGAATCAGCGTTAAACATCTGGCGAATCAAAAACCCATTAGTTTCTCTCCTCTTCCAATTCACCCCCTCCTCCACATTCCCACCACCCACAATGAACGAGACCTTCACAAACCCCGAAACCACCATCATCATCATCAACGCCGCGAATATCGTACGGCCCGCATTCCTCCCCGAAACTAAACACTGCGCAATCGTTAACCCCCTCATCACCTTCATCTTCCTCAGCAACCACAAGTACCGAATCACCCGGTGGTCATTGTGATCGTAATCGCAATCGTAATCGTAATCGTAATCTACTCCGTTTAATAAATAACAATCTGATGATTTCTCGCAATCCATGAAATCTCCGACGCGGCGGCGATGGGCGGCGGTGTGTAGTCTGGGACTGGCGCTGGCGTTGGCGGTGGTGGCGACACCGGTGGACATCAAAACCGTTGCTTTGTCTGTGTAGTATGGGTGATTTTTGCTTCTCTCTCGAAAAAAAAGTATAATTTTCGCTCTCTATATTGCTGTGAAACGTTTCCGAAATGAAAGGCGAGGAGAGAGGCTAATCTGCAGTTATGTGTATGTGGATGTGTATATATATATATAGGAACTAACTATAGTATAAGTATAATTTCTGTATAAACTTTAGAAAAAAACGTGTGTGCACCTTACATATATAACTACCATAAGATTGAGAAATTGATTTTTATAAATGCAAAGGGTGTCCTCTCTAATTAGTTATGGAAAATAAATGAACCTTAGCCTCCGTTTAGAAAGTGGATTGGTTTTTTAACTTTTTAGTTTTTTTTGATTATTTTAACCTGGAGCTTGGTTTGGGAAGGATTTTTTGGCTTTTTTGACTTTTTTTTGTAAGAGAAGAGTGTAATGATTATGGATTAGATGTGATGTTTTGTTTTTTGTGGCTAAAATAACCTATTTTGTCTTTTGTGACTAAAATAGCCAAAAAAGCCTACTTTAATTCTTCCCAAACGGACCCTTAGACTTATCAAAAAAATAAAATAAATGCTGATGATTATAAGTTAACATTTTAACAATGTTACAGACTATCAAAAAATATATAATTTTACAATCTCTACTCATCTATAATTGGTTCAGAAAAAAATAAAAAATAAAAACACATAATTAATCCACATCATTTTAAGAATCATAAGGATTATGATTCTCAACTTTGAGAGTCCCACACATTTTTGGTTAACATTAAAAACTTATTAGCGTGTGCAAAACCTTTTTGGACGAGGTCTTTCTTGACAAACGGGTCACTATTCTTGACAAACGGGTCATTATAGTATTGACAGCTAAAATTCAAGAGAAAATAATGGAGATTTTGGACGTAGTTTTCTTAACACAAATTTATATTTTGTATTTTTTATGTAATTTTTTATATGTTAAAAATTGATAATTAAAAATTAAATTAAAAGTATCACTCTCTTAACTTCTAAATAATAAGCTTTTTTTTTTAATTTACTATTTCTTTCTAATAAATTTTTTTTCAATTTATTTAAGTTATTTCTATCTAATAAGTAATAAGCTAAAACTATACCAAACTGACACACATTCTCAAATTAAAATATGTTATAATCAACTCCTTTAAACTATAACAAATAATTCCATTATAAACTCTAAATATATGGCAACATTTAAAATCTGATTTTCCAATAATTTTAACTATTATTTCATTCATTCTATTGTAAAGTTTTTATTAAGTGTTGTAGTAGATAAAAATGTTTGAAATAATACATATACGTAAGATTGAAATTCAATAAAAATCACTAATTGACCTTTAAGTCATTTGTGGTAAATGTTGATGATTATAAGTTAACATTTTAACAATGTTACAGACTATCAAAAAAATATATAATTTTACAATCTCTATTCATCTGTGATTGGCTCAGAAAAAGAATAAAAAATAAAAACACATAATTAATTCATATCATTTTAAGAGTCATGAGGGTTCTTAACTTTGAGAATCCCACACATTTTTGGTTAACATTTAAAACCTATTAGCGTGAGCAAAACCTTTTTTGGACGAGGTCTTTCTTGACAAACGGGTCATTATAGTATTGACAACTAAAATTCAAGAGAAAATAATGGAGATTTTGGATGTAGTTTTCTTAACACAAATTTATATTTTGTATTTTTGATGTAATTTTTTATAAGTTAAAAATTAATAATTAAAAAGTAAATTAAAAGTATCACTCTCTTAACTTTTAAATAATAAGCTTTTTTTTTTAATTTACTATTTCTTTCTAATAAATTTTTTTCGACTTATTTAAGTTATTTCTATCTAATAAGTAATAAGCTAAAACTATACCAAACAGACACACATTCTCAAATTAAAATATGTTATAATCAACTTCTTTAAACTATAACAAATAATTCCATTATAAACTCTAAATATATGGCAACATTTAAAATCTGATTTTCCAATAATTTTAACTATTATTTCATTCATTCTATTGTAAAGTTTTTATTAATTGTTGAAGTAGATAAAAATGTTTGAAATAATACATATACGTAAGATTGAAATTCAATAAAAATCACTAATTGACCTTTAAGTCATTTGTGATAAGAGTAATAAAATTTTCCAAACGAATGAATTTTATTGGTTTTTTCACAAGTCATATGGATTTATACAACAAACATTTTGAGTAAATTTTCTATACAAAACAAAATAATGGGACAATTATTATCATTTTCGATATAAATTAGTGTATATATGTAGAGCTTATTTTGTAATTTACATAATAAGTGTAAAAATGATGAAATTTAATTGGTGTTGAAAACTTTCTTTGTCAAATCATGACATTTCAAAAGAAAATAATAAAAAAAACAACGTAGTTTTGTGAACTTCGCATTGCAACATCCGCATAGACATGTATATTTACAAGGTACAATTATATATATTTACGAATCTAATTAAGTGATGCATCTTTTCTTATTCAATACTAATGATTTTGATTTAAAGGATTATTTGGTTCAAGTAGTTTGAATCTAAACATGTGTTCTCAAATTCAATCGGACTTAGTTTAACAAGTTTGTTATAATGATGATGTTTAAAAATTAAGTTTTAGCATATACTAGTGTCTAATGTCCACCAACAAGAAGTTTTAGAATAATAATAAATTTTTTAACATAATAATAATGATTTTATTTGACTTCGTGTGGCCATTGTGGGAAATGACCTACCTCATCGAGAGCAACACTTCCATGGCGTTTTAAAAGAGGCAGAGTCAATTGGGTTTTTGGATTTGACAAGTCAGAAAACCCTTTACTTAGGGTGTTCATTTAGAGCCAAAGGCACTTAAATGTGGTTGGTTTGGAACCTTCCCTCAACTTGACATCTTCCACCACATATCAACACTATGCTTATCTTCAAATAAATTCAACAATAATGTTGTTGGACTATTTTTTTAATATAAAAGAAATTTAAATTTTAGTTTGAAAAGGAACTTCTTCAGTGACTGTTTAATTAAAATATGAAGTAAAAAGAATTAAAAAGTATGGAAATAACTATTACAAAAAAAAAAAATGGTAAAAAATAGTGAGAAATTGAAGTGTGTGAATAGCTTTTTTGCTAAAATTTAATTTTTCCAAATACATAAATTTTGTTGCATCATGTTATGTGTCATTATTTACATTAATTTAAGGAATTAGATTCTCTCAAATGGACCATGCTATTTGGGCCCATGGTACCTATCACGGGTCTTGTTTGGATAATCCAAACCACTTAATGTATAGAACTTGCCGAGTATTTTGTTATTGTAAAAAATGATATTGATCGGATATCAATAATTATTTAATCGGATTAGATTTCTGTCAACAATTTTTTTTAAAATCATATCTACATTTGACATAAATATATTTTGATCAAGTGGTTGTCAATATCTGATTAATGTGATTTTTTGTGTGGATGAAATACTCAACGAGTACTACACATTGAACGTTTCGGATCATCGAAACATGATCCTTGATGGGCCTCCATGGGCCTAACAGCACGCTCCAATTCGATCTTAGACTAGAGAAAAGTCTGACTCTTAATTTAATAGATCTTATCATTCATGTTTATTTTTTAATGAATAATTATTAACTAGTTTTGGAATATCATGTAATATTATTCACGTGATAATGCCAACAAATAAAACACCACATATAACACATAATGACACATGCCACTGCCAAATTATCTTTTTTTTATTATTATTATTTTGGATAGTGATAACAAATTATATAGTTAACAGAAATATGTCAATAAAATAGGATTATCATAGCATAAGAAGACATTTTCTTCATCAAATTGTTACTGAGGAAGGAAAAATGATAGAAAGAAAAATGAGCATCTAGTCTTACTTGGAAGAAACACTGCGACTTGGCACGTTGTTTCCCAAATGAATTAGTCGACATGCACAAGCTTTGAAATTTAATCTTCTTCTCCTTTTTTTATCCTAAAATAATTTTAATCCTAAATGTTAAATCTTATTTCAAATAGGATAATAAAAAATGTTTCATTTGCAAACGATTTATTTCAAGAACAAAGTCGTCATATAATTTATTTTGTGTTGGTTAACTTACATGTTGTTTGAAATGTAATGACTTTTTTTTTAATAAATAATGCTAAAACATTATTGGTTCTAAAATTCTGTTTGGTTTGCTTTTCATAATCTATTTTCATTTTTCTAAAACATTAAAAATTAAATTGGTGAAAAAATCAAAAACACATCATTTTTATATAATTTTATCTTTTGAAAAGGTAGAAATAAATTTTTAAAATAATTTTTTTTGATATTTATTTTCATTAAATTAGTTTTTATTTTTTCAAAAGTCAAATATGGCGACAAATTTGATATTATTATTAAACCAATCCATTAAATTAAAAAATCTAAAACTAAAAATATTTCATAAACATATCGATTATACATTAAAAGTCCAATAATAATACATTACATGATAGCTATTAAAAAATATCTACCATCAACAAAAATAACCACTGATTACATGATCATCATCCAAACACATACCAAAATTAATTTGATAAAGAAATAAAAATATAAAAATTTATCATTTTTATGTTATTTTATCTTTGGTGGGTATAAATAATTTTTTAAAATTCAAAAATAATTTTTTTGACATTTATTTTTGTCAAATTAGTTTATATTTTATCAAATTGAAAACTTTGTCCTTGAAATGGAGCGACGGTGTCTTCAATTTTATTTGGAACGAGATTTAAAATTTATGGTCAAATATATTACAATGGAAAAGTCAGGGAGTAAAATGGCACAAACCCCAAACTACAGAGAGCATTAGTATAATTCGCTTTGATATTGTTTTAGTTATGACTTATAAAATATTTATACCTCATGTAGCGTTTAGTTTTTTTTCTAATCAAAAAGTATAAAATTATGTCATTTTATTCTTTAGTTAGACCATCTCCAATCCTTCATCAAATCTTTCATCAAATTTATATTTGATGAAAAATTGATAAAAATAATGCCCCAACCGTTTCATCAATTTGGTATCAAATGAAGGAAGTGGTACTTTTTTCATCAAATGAATAAAACATTTATCCTTTCATCAAATTTGTAGGTGACTGTTGGGTTGGACATCTGCCCAGATGTCCTCTTGAACAATCGGTTTTTCGATAAATTTGATGAAAATTTA